TACTTTTCTTTTAATCTCACCCAATGACTCATAATTAAATGAACTGCCTCACTGCTGCTCGCTGTGAAATGTCCAGATACAACACGACACAGCAATCTGTCTCTCTCTGTCCTCCCTCCTCACACATCTACAGCTTCCATGCCAGCTTCATTTTGACTTCCTGGTTTGGACAGCTCTTAGTGCATGGGTAAGTGGAAGTAGCTGGAGCCGGCCTTTAAATGTCAGCAATGGCGCCAGCACGATGCGGCTAATCCGCTCAATCACTCAGAGTTAGAACAACAAAGTCTGAACGCAAACATTCAACTTCTAAAGGCCGCTAAAAGTGTGGTGAATGTACTGAAACACACACGTTAATGCTGAAGTAGCATGAGGCTACAGACATGCTAGCTTTGAGGAAAATGCTAAGCATGCTAGCATAGTCGCAATGACAATGCTACTACACTGATGTTAAGTAATTGTAACTGCATAAACATATTCTCATACAGTGGTTGGTATGTTATCTTACTAAAATATGTTATTTATGTTTTACTATGAATGTCCAGCAAAACAAGCGATAAGAGAAACTGTGAGTCCCTGAAGTTCACAACCTGTTCAGGCAACAATACTACTTTAGGTTAAGCAACATATTGCAACTTGAGTCAATACATAGAAGAGTTATTAATTAAACATAGAAGTTATGTATCATGAATGCATAGATTGGATATCAAATCAGTCCATCCAGCAGGTGCAAAGAAATGTCAATCATTACAAAACATTTCTTATGGTGGCCTAGAGGAAGTTAATCCACTGCATGGGACCATGAACAACATTGCAATCACTTTAACCATCACACTTAATTGGATAACATTTTAATTTTTACTTGGACTAAGAAGGTTATATTTGAAGTTGACCTGAATGATGTCTCTGAAATATTGGAGTCATTCTTCATCACATTTAGTGTGCAGATCGGTTTTGGATAAACAGCAAAACATCAGATCCGAACACCAAAGTTTTTGTTAATTTTTTTATTACACACATGGCACTTCTTTTATTTACCTGCCCCTACAAAAGTCATCTTCATACTGTCTGATTACGCTTTCTTTATACTTTTAATTGTATGATAACGTATCAATGAAAAGAGCAAAGGCACTTGCATTTTCTTTGTAAAAAGATGATGTCTGCAAATCGATTTAACAGGAAATGAAGTGAACAGAAGTGTTGCTCTTGAGTGTGACAGCAAGCAGAGAATAATTCCCCCTCTTTCTAGTTTGGTTATTCAGGAGAGTGCTACTTAAACAACTCGAACAATGGGAATTTGATTTGTTTCCAAAAATCTGCCCGTTAAATATTTTCTTTTCTTCTTTGCCAGAGAGGGAGAAAAGCTCTTTCTGCAGTTTGGGATCAGCTTACGGAGAAAGGCCTGCTGACTAAATAAAGCTTTACAACACAATTTAATCAGAAAAATGTAAATAGAACATATGTTTGGTTTAATTTACATTATGTTATTATTCAGAATCAGCTTCATCATGGTTTCACACAGGAGTTTCCCATTTATTTCCACACCTGGATGGACTTTGCCAATGATTTGTCATCACTTTTGCAATTTTGAAGTCTTCCTGGTGGTTTAGTGTCAAACTCATTAGACCTCTTCGTACAGTAGATTACCAACCTGACAATTAGGCTAATACAGGACAGGAAAAGCACTTAGTGCTACAAAAGAATCTGTCAGACCCAATTGAATGTTTGGGGAAAAAGGTCCATTCAAGCTGGATGGAAGCTTAAACTCTCCAAAGTAGGGAAGAGCAGTGATTTGAAACCAAGCCACTGCTTTATTGATTAACTATTAAGTATCTGCAGTCAGATACAAATGTATTGGGACAGTAACAGTTTTTTAAGTTTCAACTCTTCTAGGTTAATCTTTACTCGGAAATGATCAAATCAGAAATTGGACAGAAGGAAATGTATTAAGCCCTATTATGCTTTGGGGGGTTTTCCCTTTCCTGTAGTGTGTTCTATAGATTTGTGTGCATGTTAATGGTCTGCAAAGGCTAAAATCCCAACCAGAGCCGGCCAGCTAACCAATCAGAGCAGACTGGGCTCTGGTTTCAGACAGAGGGTGGAAAGAGGTGCTGCAGCACAGGCAGTATGAGAAAAATAAAGAGCTTTTGGAACATTAAAGCACGGAGACGTGTCACATAGAGGCACTAAATACAAATAGGAACCTGAAAATGAGCATCATAGGACCTCGAGCTGGTTGCCTGCTGTGGTGCGGCTGTTGAAACTGAAGTTATACTACAAACTATTTATCATGCATGCTTACACAGATATTGAAAATGACTGGAAAACACACATGTACTGAATATGTGCTGTATAGAGACTGTGTATTTGAAATCAAAACAACCATCGAGAATAAACAAACAGGTTTCCTAAAACATATTTTGGGAGTATTTTCAGCCATATGAGACGAACAACTTTGGGAATTGGGAATCATTTAAAGGACATTTTGAGAAATGCACTTTTTTTTTTCTTGCCAAGAGTAAAATGAGAAAATCAATACCACTCTAATGTCTGTATGGTAAATATGAAGTGGAGCCGGTTGATGGTTAGCTTCTGTAGCTTAGCATGAAGAGTGGAAACTCAAAGGTAACAACATCTGCCGACTAGCATCTCTTAAGCTCGACTTTTACACCACTAATGGCTGGAGATCGCTCCAAGCCAAGAAATAGAGTGGTACATACAGTAACCCCCTGTAAAATAACTAATGATCAATTTTACACTTTGGATTTTATTTGGATTAAACCGATTAGATATGCATGTAATTCATTTATTTTTTCTTATCTTTGGCCAGAGCCACGCTAAGGCAACCAGATAGCTACATATTTACAATACAGATGTAGAAGAGGATATAAACAACAGTTTTAATGCCTGCTAACTTCTCACTCATAAATATGATTCATCGTGCCATGTTTTATGTTACGATTGGTCCCCAGCCTGCTGCGTTCGAGGCATCTCCAGGAGAAGTGAGCTGTAGCTGCATTTGGCAGCACACTGCTCTGACCACACGCCTCCTCCATAAACTGAGGCAATCCATTACATGATCCATTCTGGAAATATTAGAGGCGATACATTAAAGTGTAAGCCAGGTCGATGGGGGGAGAGAGGCTTTTTTAATAACGGCAGACACCGCTACAGTAGAATCACAGAGCCACATCTCAGGGGTTCATCAAAGTGCTCTCAGTTTACTAAATGTAATAACACTTTTCTTATGAGTTCAACAAGGACACATGGAGGGGGAAGCTGTGTGTGTTTGTGTGTGTGTGGAAGCAGGGGAAGCTCACGACAGAGCGAGAAAGAGAGTTAAACGAATGGCTGAGATGATTGCAAGTGCTGGAGAAGGGATTGAATTCTGAGCAGGTCGTATTTCACGCCGGGGAGGAGGCGAGATTCCCAGTGAGACACACACACCAGGATATTTTACCTCTATTGCCAAGTCACTTCAAACAGACTTCCATTACCATTAGAAAGCTCCGGGGAACACACTCGAGGAGCCGGAGAGGACTCAGACTTTTGGAATCATGTTTTAAAAAATGGTGTTCTTTAGTTTGAAATGTCTGAAGCAAAGAGGACTCTGAATGTGCTTCAATTAACCACAGCTTAAAGGACCAGAAGGCAACTCCCACACATCTTTAAACTGTTAATTGATGCAAAAAGCTCTCCTGGTAATTAGTACACAGCGTTTCATTTTTTAGATGGAACAGAGAAAGGGAGCCAAGAGGAAAAATGTATATATATGAGTGTGGGTGCATTCAGGGGGAAACAGGACGTCTACAAAGCCAAGAAAGCGTTCGACGGACAATCAGTCAACTTTAGTTTCAGGAAATTGGACCACAACCAGCTCAGAAAGTCGCAGAATCTAAAAACCTCTGAATTCGTCATAGGCGGACTGATTATTTTGCTAACCAAACGCAACAAAGGACAAACTCTCTTGAGCTTTACTAAACATTTCATCGAATTAGCACGGATCAAAATCACTGAGATAATGACTCACAACCTTTTATGACCCTTTAAAGCAAATCAATGTCTTCTCACGACCCCTTGTCACAGGTTGCACAATCTATTCAGATGAAATGCTTAAGAGACTTGTGTTGATCAAACTAAACAACCCCAGTTTGACAATGGGAGAGATCTACGGTTGAATCATTCGCACTGCATTTCCTGTTTTCTTGACTTTGTATACAAATGCATAAAATACTCCTTAAGAGCATAACGAATAAATACAAATACATGGTTTTGACCTGGAAACCAAGTCAGGTCTTTCTAAACACTAATCAGACTACATTATACGCAAGGTTCTGACACAACTTGGAGATAAACATTTTCAGCAAAATGAGGTGTTCTAAAAAGTCTGACCCTGGTACTGGTAGCAACACCATCTTACAGTTACATTGGTTTTATTTATTGAGCTTTACACTCTGTAAAACCTACTACACTCTGTATCCTTGACCCTTAGGTAATACCCAGTCTTAGTAGTAAAACCTTAGCCTAAGGGTCTATCCTGCAAACACAAGCCTGGCTGACCCTGACTTTCCCACATCCTTAAAGCTGCTCATCAAACCTGCACTAAGTTTTTTTAAGGCCACAGTTAGAGTTCAGCAGAGTGGTGCTGAAATGACAGCTCCTGCACCCTGGTGTTATGTTTCCTACCTTTACTTTCCCCCCTGAGCAATGCTCCCACAGCCGATAGCCTGCTCCTAAAGCTCAGGTGGAGCTGCGATGCGAAACAATATTTAAATCGCCTGAGAGAAACGATTGAAGTCGCGGATTAGGAAACGTTGTGCCAACATAAAAAAAAGCCACCCCGTCTGCCGTCAGCTAATGCTTCATGCTTTAATGAAATCCCTTCACTAACAATACAAAAGCAAGGGAGAAAAAGACGCATGCACGTGCCAAGTCTCGCCATGATGCATGTTGCATGTTGTGCACGGAGCAGTATTGCAGCTGAGTGAACACGCATTTCTTACCCGGAGTTTTCTTTTGGTGCAGTAGGGAAGAAGAAGGAGGATGAAGAGGAGGAGGAGGAGGAGGAGGAGGAGGAGGGGGGGGGATAGACCAACTCCACCGCTCTCCCTTCTTCAGGCGCCTCTCTCCTAATGGCAGCGGTGCCGGTCCGGGCTCTCTATCCCGGGGATGGAGTCCACACTCCCCCCGGAAGATAGGGAGGAGTGTGAGGAGGGGTGGTGAGAAAGAAGAAGAGGAGGAGGAGGATGGTTTATCTTCCACTCGGATGTGTCCGTCTGCTGCTGCTCGCTGGAGTCTGAAAAGCTGCTGTCTGAGGCTTTTCTGTACGAGCCGCAGCTCACCCCCGACCGACCGACTGCAGGAAGAAAGTCCCTCCCCCCTGCAGCGCAACTTCCACCGCCCGGCCGCTCGATAACACGACCACCGCCTCCTCCTCCTCCTCCTCCTCCTCTTCCTCCTCCTCACAGCACAGCAGCACTGAGGGAGACCTGCCTGCTGCACACACACTAACACACACAGTTTGGTGTTATGCAACCGGTGCATGGGGGGGGGGGGGGGGGGGGGAAACTGGGGTGGGAGGTGTGTGATTCAGGAACATTCAAACTTTTCTTACTCATCATCTCTCCTTAACGCTCACATGACCCCCGAGTCTGTCCCAAGAACAAACCTCCCCCTCTTCTTCATCATTATTTCAGCAGTACAGATCATTCAGATGCAGTGATAACACCTCTGAATCTATTCATACTCTCCCGGTACTTTAAAGTACTCCTCACCGGCCTAATTATAACACTTGAATGCTTAAGTAAAATCTCAAAGTGCCACTTTCTAATGAGGCATCTAATATAAAGGGGTTAATGATTCATTAATAAATCATCTGATTGCTTTATAGATCAGTAGTCGAGTTGTATGATGATAAACATCAGCAGAGGGATATTCACAATGTTATTAATTATTACTGAAACTTAAAGCACTGATGCATTATTTAGCATCAATAAAGCCACAATGTATTATAGTATTGGGAAATGTCTTTGTTTTAATTGAGTAATTTATGAGACTCTTATTTTTAAGAGAACTTTTCTGGTTGATATGTTTTTAAGGCAACATATAGTTTTTAGTTGTTTTGTATTAAAGAGGCCTTATCATGCTTTTTGGGGTCCCCTTCTCCATAGTGTATTATTGGTTATTTCGCATGTAAATTGTCTGCAAAGGCTAAAACCCCAAAGTTATCTCCAGAGGGAGTTTCTCTCACTGAGGCACAATGAGGAAAACCTACACTACACCACACTGTTCTGAAGTCTTTACACTGGCTTCCTGTGTGTCAAAGAATAGATTTCAAAATACTGCTGCTGGTTTATAAAGCACTGAATGGTTTAGGCCGAAAAAATACATTTCTGACCTCCTGCTAAGTTATGAACCATCCAGATCTCTCAGGTCTTCAGGGACTGGTCAGCTTTCTGTCCCCAGAGTCAGAACTAAACATGGAAAAGCAGCGTTCAGTTATTATGCTCCAAATATCTGGAACAAACTCCCAGAAACCTGCAGGTCCGCTGCAACTCTGACTACTTTTAAATCCAGACTAAAGACTTTTCTTTGTGTCGCTGCTTTTAATTGAACTATTCATATCTTAAACTGCACTGTAACTTGTATCCATGTATTTTTTCTTTTAATGTTTATTTTATTAGCTTTTCTTTTTAATGACTGATTTTAAATGCCATTTTCTTAATGTCTTTCATTTTTTGTAAAGCACTTTGAATTGCCTTGTGTTGAAAAGTGCTATATAAATAAACTTGCCTTGCCTTACACTGTAAATGGTTACAGGTTATATGAATGCAGAGACAGCGAGGCTATGTTCTTCTTTTGCTGTTGGATGATTGATGTGCCTAAAGCGTGTCTGTGGAGAAGCCTGTCTTTTCCTCTGAGGCCATGTTCTGCAGCTGTGACATTGGATGGCGGATGAAGACAAACAGAGCATGATGAACAGGAATAATGAGATTACAACTCAGCTTTGTTTGCCAACAGTGGTGCAGTCTGATCAAACAAACCTATCACCTGTGAACCCAATCTCCACTCGTGGTAATCTCCCTTGATCTGCAAATCAAATCAAATCAAATCACATTTTATTTCTATAGCACATTTAAAAACGATTTTCGGTCGAGCTAAAGTGCTGCACATGCAGATAATAAATAACACATTCCTACCGATGTAAACAGAAGACAATCAATTATAACATCAAATATAAAAATCAAACACAGGGAAGTGTCATGAGTCGTGCTCTGCTCTGATTAGAAGGCCAGGGTGAAGAAGTGAGTTTTTAGTTTAGATTAAAAAACCCCTAGGGTCTGGGCCGACCTCACATGGAGGGGCAGAGTGTTCCAGAGCCTAGGGCCAGCCGCTGCGAAGGCTCGGTGCCCTCTGGTTTTTAGCCTGGTTTTAGGCACTACCAGTAGCAGCTGGTCAGCAGACCTTAACGCTCTGGCTGGGGTGTAGCGCTGGAGGAGTTCAGCTATATAGGCCGGAGCCAGCCCATTTAGTGCTTTAAAAACAAATAAAAGGATTTAAAAATCAATTCGGAACAGAATTGGAAGCCAGTGTAGTGAGGCCAGAATTGGGGTGATGTGGTCACGCATTTTGTGGCCGGTGAGGAGACGTGCCGCTGCGTTCTGCACTAGCTGCAGGCGTTTAATTGAGGCCTGGTCCATACCCACGTATAGAGCGTTGCAATAATCGAGTCTCGAGGTCACAAAGGCGTTGATAACCCTCTCCAGGTCTTTAAAAGATAAAAAAGACTTGGTTTTGGCCAATACTCTTAATTTAAAAAAGCAGGATTTCACTACGCTGCTGACCTGCTTGTCGAATTTAAAAGTGTTAGTAAAGGTCACTCCAAGATTCATAACAGAGGGGAGGATGTTTGTTTTAAGAGGACCCAGAATGTCAACAGAAGAGGCTGGAGGTTGGGGTCCAAAAAAGATGACCTCAGTCTTGCTCTCGTAAAGGTTAAGAACATTTCTGCTCAGCCAGGACTTCATTTCTGTCAGGCAATCCATCAACTGCTGTAGTGAGTGTTTGTCATTTCCTTTGAGAGGCAGATAAATCTGAACATCGTCAGCGTAGCAGTGGAAGGGAATGTTACGTTTTGTGAGGATTAAACCTAGAGGCAGTATATACAATAAAAATAGGATGGGGCCCAGGATAGAGCCTTGGGGAACCCCACAAGTAAGAGGGGCCTTTGCAGAGGAGAAGGCACCTAGCTGCACTGAAAAACTGCGGTCTGTCAGGTAGGACCTGAACCATGCAAGGGCAGAGCCTGTGATGCCAGCGGACTGTTCAAGCCGTGACAACAGGATGCTATGGTCCACAGTGTCGAAGGCAGCTGAATTGCAAGGTGAAATACATTAATTTTGAAGGGACAGCAATACAAATAAAAAGCATCCTCATAATCGATTGTTTTCTATGAAACACTGAGAGGCAGGTGGAAAGGATTTCCTCTGTCCTCCTTTTAGATTACAAAGAGGAGTGTACGGTGGCTGAGAGGCGCAAACGACAATTACTAAGTGTGCAACACTTTAACAAAGCTTCAGACAAATTTACATTTTATAAAACAAATGTACATTTTATAAAACAAATGTACATTTTATAAAACAAATGTACATTTTATAAAACAAAAGGACATTAGCAAAACACTTTTACCAAAGAAAAAACTATTTAACACTAACAAAAACAATTAAAAAAGATGCGAAACATTTTTACAAAGCTAGAGACAAATTTACAAGTGTCGAAACACTTTAACATTTGCCTCAACACTTTAACATTTACCTCAACACTTTAACATTTGCCTCAACACTTTAACATTTGCCTTAACACTTTAACATTTGCCTCAACACTTTAACATTTGCCTCAACACTTTAACATTTGCCTTACCACTTTAACATTTGCCTTAACACTTTAATATTTGCCTTAACACTTTAACATTTGCCTCAACACTTTAACATTTGCCTCAACACTTTAATATTTGCCTTAACACTTTAACATTTGCCTCAACACTTTAATATTTGCCTCAACACTTTAATATTTGCCTTAACACTTTAACATTTGCCTCAACACTTTAACATTTGCCTCAACACTTTAACATTTGCCTCAACACTTTAACATTTGCCTTAACACTTTAATATTTGCGTTAACACTTTAACATTTGCCTCAACACTTTAATATTTGCCTCAACACTTTAATATTTGCCTTAACACTTTAACATTTGCCTTAACACCTTAACATTTGCCTCAACACTTTAACATTTGCCTCAACACTTTAACATTTGCCTCAACACTTTAATATTTGCCTTAACACTTTAACATTTGCCTCAACACTTTAACATTTGCCTCAACACTTTAATATTTGCCTTAACACTTTAACATTTGCCTCAACACTTTAATATTTGCCGAAACACTTTAACATTTGCCGATTCCGCTCTGTGGAAATCGCCTGGGCCAAGTGACATGGTTTTGCTCATCACGATATACTTTCTCTAACACTAACCCTAACGGACAAAATATGTTTAACGACCATAAACCGGCGGTGTGGGACCAAGAATGTTAGAAAATCTTTGTCAAGACAACATCTTATCTTTTGGTTGATATGTGTCCTTACAAGACTTAATATGCTTAACATTTATGCATTTAGGCTAGTCCTGCAAAAGTCAGAGTGTTTTCGCAGCTGTGATTTAAAACTACAACATTCAGTTCATATGAGGCTCAACAACAGGAGAATGGTGCATTCTGTATGTTTTACCTTTTAAATGTCTCCATCTGGTGGTGGAGCTGCTGTAGTGTTGGCACAGAAATACATCTCGTTCCAAAAAAAATGATGTACAAAACAACTTCTTTACTAAGTCTGTGTATTAGGGCGGTCCTTAGTGCCATGAACATTTTCGAATTCATTTATTTTAAGCTCCAACCACTGGAATTCGTTATGATATAGAAAACTCTCCTGGTGAATTTTATTCAAATTCCAACAACATTTACCCCTCCCTCATCAACCTTGAAGTTTAGCCTCACGTAGGGTGGTCCTTAAAATTGAAAGAGGGAAAGTCTACGCTCCAACCCCCAGAATTCATTCTATTAGTCAAGAAAACTCTCCTGGTGATTTTTTCTCCTCAATCTGACAACATGGACCCCTCCCTCATCGACCTGGGCTGCCACACCAGCAGCCACGGTGCTGCAACTGAGGCTCCACTTCAAGGTTGATGAGGATCGGGAGGGGTAAATGTTGTCAGATTGAGGAGGGGTTGGAGCTTAGACTTTCCAACTTTCAATTGTAAGGACCACCCTACTGTGTATGACTAGTACTCAAGTTGTCAAAAAAAATCAGGAGGGATGGTGGATTTGATCATATGGGGACATAATTTGTGCTGATAACCCGCCGAGGGTGGGAGACCAACCAGCATAAAGATAATTATTATACTCCTAAAACAACATGCATGGT